AGATACGATTTTTCGATGTCCTTTTTTCTTTGTCCCCGAGGAAAAGAAGTATCCTCTTTAGAAATTGGAATGCTCAAGTTTTTTGAGGCAATATTGGGATTGAGAAATGTTGAGGAATTTTAGCAACCTTGTTATATTTGAAAAATTATAGATAATTAGGAATAGATAAAAATAAATCTTATGTTTTGATATTATGAATTTGAAATATTATTTAGATAAATAATTCTAAAAAGTGAGATTTATTGAAGAATTATTGAAATTATGAAATATTGATTGAGAATATAAATTTTAGTTAATATTCTCAAATAATAATAAACCGATAATTCAAGTAACATCAGAGAATGAAAAATGAAGAAAGTAATTAAATACAAAATGAAATCTAAAACTAATTGGAAAATTAAATATTTAAAACTGTAAATATTGTCAAGATATGAAATATAATGTACAATTCAAAAATATTATATAATATATTGCAATAATAAAATTAGCAATATATTATTCTTACAAAAGTTTATTTTCAGCAACTACTATACTATATTATATTATAAAATAATATTTTCATATTTTAAACTACAGTACACAGAATGCTCAATTATATTCTTCATAGTGGAACAATCTGAAAGCAAGTTGTTTATTGCTGGGATAATATTAATCAAAAACAAAGAAGAACAGTAGAGAATAGAGCAAAGAAGATGGATCCAGTTATAAAGTCAAACTTGCAAACTTTTCAACTGTCTGCTATCTGTTTGTATTTTCTTTATATCAAAATTATTATATCTTTATTGCGACTTTTATGCAATTAAGCTTCATAGCTCATGAAAATGAATAAATTTGTTTGATTAATTATCAAAACAATTGATAATCACATCTATTTTATTTTTCATTATATTTCAATCTTGACACATTTTAACATTATCATAGAGAAATGTACGTTTCATTGCATTTTATGATATCAGAAAATTTTATTTTCAATTTTCATTAAAAAGAAAATAGACAATGATACAACTTTTTAATTTTTAATAAATTATTTTCAAAGAATTTCAAAAAAATTCTTAAAAAAACTTTAAATTTAATATCCTAATTTTCACTAAAAAAAAAAAAATTTTAATGACACAACTACTTCCAAATCAATTCCAAAAAATTCCTAAAAAAAAATCGAAATCAAAATTCTCAAATTTTTCATTAAAAAAGAAATATTTTAACACTGATATAATCAAGTAACGAAAAATCAATTTAAAAAAATTCCAACATCACGAACGAAACTATCGAAAACGATGCAAAGGCACGTTGTTCTCGCACGTTCGAGGGAATCCGACATACTCTAAACTTCCCTGTCTATGGCCGCATTTTTGTGGATGACAATGTCGAATATATAGTATCCAGTCGGTCGAATTCCCGAGTTCTTTCTCCTCTCAGGTGTCGAGGGAACGATTCGCGACCTTTTTGGAACGCCATTCCAATTAAAAGTTCGAGGACGTTTTACGCCTCTTTTCTATCCACGATGTTTCTCGTGTTTCTAAACGTTCTACGAGTAGTTTGAAATCGCCTCGCAAGACCTTGATTACTTGGACCAGCAAAATATCGTGAAATAGTCGAACGAAACACTGGTTTCAACCAATAAAACTTCTACTCACGACGAGCTTTCTGCTGTAACTTTGAATCCAACTAACGATTCGTGAAACAAAAGTAAAAAATATATTGCAATAGTGGTAGTGGAAGGATGAAATAAGAGTTAGGAAAACTGCAGAATATTGTTCTTTTAGAATGAATACTCTTGGATTCTCTTGGATTCATTTTGTGAATAAATTTCAAACGATGAACAAGTTGATAATTGATTATGTCTTGAAGAATAATAGCAAATTAAAAGTTAACGTAATATATAATAATAACTTTAAATCTTTCGTCTGAAATATTTTTCCATATTTCAAATTTTCCATATTTATTTTTCAGACATCTCAAAAAAATACTATACTCATGAGATAACAAAATTTTCATCCATCAATTAGACACGAAGGAATTTATTCATTAACTCATATTCTTTCATTTTAAGAAAATTACTACAGTTATCTATACACGTACAAAAAGGAATAAATAATAGCAATCTATTGAAAAAATGAAAAATTTATTCATGGAATGTAATCCAGCGATGAGTTCATAAGCCAAAGGATATAGCAGACACGAGAAACGGAAGAGATAGAAGAATACTGACGGTCTGGTCGATTAATCCAAGCCTGACAAATCTTATAAGTTCAAGTTAGTGATGCTCGTCCTGACCATTCTTTCTTCGCGAATATCCACAGCCTGTTCCTCTTAATACTAGCCAGTGATACAGTGCCAACAGCGGTTATAAAGATGACAAACGTGGCACGACAAAAAAATAACAAGCCACAGGCCGTGATGAGCTTGGAGGATGCTCGACAAACGATCGCCGACGTTTTAAAATGGGCATGTCTCGACTTTCGGCCAGAAATCCACCGACCTCTTTCTAGTCGCAACGCCATCAAGCCAGAATAGTGTAACTCTTACGATCTTTTATGAGTGTTTGTATATTTATCTCACTGCCTTTGTATTGTTCGAATTTAAATCAAAAGTTATGCCAAAGTTTTTTTTTTTTAATTTAAAATCTTAGAACTTTACGATTTCATTTGTTCTGTGTAATGGATATTGTTCCTCCTATGATTATATATATATGGTAGATATATATGCTATAGTTAAACTTTGGAATATAAAAGTTGTGAAAATCAAAAATTAAAATTTTTAAAATCAATAATTGCATCTATCTTTAATTCTATAAATTGTATCATTGATTGCAAGTCTTTCTATTATACAAAAAAATAAGAAATTTATTTTTTCTATTTAAACTTTCAAGATTTAGCAATCACATTTATCTTTGATTATATGATATTGCAATAAATGTTATTTCTCGCTTATTTACAAAAATGTGTTGATTGCATACGATGAATAATTTTTGGGATCTATCAAAAAAGACGAGTCGAAAAGATACGAGAAGTGGCCTCAGTGACGCAGTGGCCTGTAATGGAGTAGGCTCGAGTTTTAAAGCGGGGCCCTGAGTGCTCTTTTTTTTTCACAATCCCGTATAATAACGCGTGCGCGCGTGTGGAATGGCGATAAAATGAAAGGCAGACTCGTATCTTTGTTATTAAATATGTAACTATTCTCGCGAACAGAGAGTGCATCTATTTTTTTTTTAAACAAAACAAAGTATTTCTGAAATTTAAATCCATGTTTTTTCGAATTTTTCCTAATTATTTTACTTAACCATGTAAATACCACTAATTTTAATACTATTCCTTCGATCGAGATTTAAATTTTAAAAAATAATCGACAGTTTATGGCCAAAAGACAATTATTTTAAAATTACTCGAGCAATTTCCATTTAATGAAAAATCTCATTTCTATTACTTCTTTTACTGTATTTTGCTTTATTGTGAGTACGATCACGATCTCTCGATACGGTAAGGCTACCACTACAACGACGAAACTTCAGATCGAATGCTCAATCAACTAACAGCAATCCAATCGATGCCTTTTATAATTCTTTTTTTTTCTCTCCCAAGTTTAACTGGGCGAGACAATTTGATAGTTTCTCATCTGATGTTTACCAATTGAAAGATTTAATCAAATGTATTTCTGTCACGTTTTTGTGAAATGTTATAAATTAGACCCTCAAACGATATTATGTAAAAAATAAATAAAATAAATATATCGCATTTTCTACTTCTCATTTTGTAACAGGTGATCTATTTTATAAACTGTGACAATTAAAAAAATTGCATCTTCATTACTTTTATTTCGTTTTGCATGTAATCATTCCCTTTATTTATGCATAAATAATATAGTACAAATAGAAATAAGTCAGTTAATGATATTTGAACAATTATATTTATCCCAATCAGATTTGTTTAAGTACCTACATTAATAAACTACTTCATACATTGCACAACCATCTGAATTTATATCTCAAACGCAATTCTCAAACCAAGTTTCCTTGAAAACAGAACCTGTTCCAAACCGATATACATACTCGACAATCCCTATTTTCTCCTCAAACAATCATATCTATATTCGTATCCAATTTCTTTCCTATTTCAAAAATTCGATTTTACGATAAATCAAACCTGAAAATCTTCCTCTCGAAGCACGAAACATTCATAGAAAAAGAAAATATTCCGTCTTCATTGATCATTGTTAATTCAATAGCGGAAACGTATTTTTTTCAAATAGCGGCTCAATGAATAATAAAATGTTCACCGATCAACCAACGACATTCTAGTGCCCACCCATCGAAATCCTCTTAAGTCTAGTTCAGTGTTTCCTAATCTTTCTCGAGTCGCCGTTTTTTATCGTAATCAAATAACTTGCAATCCTCTTTACATTATTAATAAAGATCAGTTCAAAAATGTACAGATGGCCAGACTTTATATATGTATACGAATTTATGATTTCCCTATTCATAAAGGAATTTTAATGAAATTTAAAGAGATGATCTTTTTATAATAACAATTTTAAGTGGAAACATTTATGAGAAATAATTTAGTATAAAAAATTCTTTGCCCATCCCGACTATAAGACTCAATACAAACGATACGAAATTGAAATTTAACACTTGTAAATACCATACAATTCAATAAATTTATATTTTTAATAACATTTTACCCTATAGAAGATAAATTCATTGAATCACCTAATCTACCATTAAAAAATCGCGAAAAACTCTTAGCATTTATCCACGTCAAAGTTTAATGAGAACACTCGAATAAATAAGTATCAAAAACCTTATAAAACGTTATAAAATTTTCCACAAAAATTATTTGAAATAACAAGTACTTTAGAAAATGCTTGACGATTCTCTCGAGAATCGTAGATCGATAGGAATTTAATTAATCTGATCCTACCACTTTCCAATGAATCGTCCATCCGGAAGTTAATCCGGAAACAGGGGACACCAATGATTCATCGATGATTAAAGGCCACGTTACCTGAGATCGTTGCCCCTGCCTCTTCTGATTCCTCGCGATGAATGGCGTGGGGGTGGGCTGCACCTGCAGTCACAGTGCATCACACACAGAGCGACGCTGGTCGCGAGAGTCACTACGAAAGGCGCCGCGAAGAAGTGTATGATGGTGGTGACCTGCGCCTCGCGGTTATAGTTCGCCATCACTATGCTGCCGTTCACACGGCTGTAATGGCAGGGGAATTTCGCGCCTTCGTAGCCCATTTCGCGGGTGAAGTTCTCGCAGTCGACGATCGGCGGATAGCCGCACCCTTTGATGTTCACCAGGAGCACCGCCTCCACATCGCCGGGAGTCGGCACTGTACAAAAAGTATTTATTTTATTTAGAAGAGTTTCCAACGAATGATGAGTTTCTTGTGAGATGATGATGGAACAATATCGATATAATATTGATCTTCTGAACGTCGTACGATTAAGGAGGCGAGAACTGCAAAATTGAAGATAAACACCGATCACGAATATATCGGTTCATATATTGGATTCTTACAACGCACATTTTTGATGGAGGAAAATAACTATTCAATAGTGATGAAAATAGGATTCTTGTTGAACGTAAACCCAGATGAAAAGTTCGAGAAAAGAAGAATAATTAAGAAAGTGAAATATATATTGAAAACATGTATATACGACACGAGTCATCTTTCAGAAATTCACTATGACACTAACTATCCTTTGAACTTGGTAGATTTCGATATATTTTATCCCTATCTTTTTAAACTAAGAAGATAGATATAAGAAAAGTTTTTACACGAAGGCAGTAACATTTCGAGATATTTGCTCGAATATGGGAGGAAAATTTAATAAAATTTAAAAATCGCAACAGTATGGTAACTTCAAAGTTTTCCTATTATCGTAATATCTTAATAAAAAAAACCATTCGCCTTACATTTCTTCAATTCTATCGAAGTTAAACTATGCAATAAATTTCAAAATATCAAGATTCCATCGTTGATGAATCGTTAATTTCATTTCATTGGAAAATAAATCACAGAAAAAGTACCCACAAATATCTAATCGCACACAATTAACTAAACGACGATATTCCTCATATACATATACACCCAAAACACTATTCTACACTTGCAGTTTCGATTCATTTCTCTTCATTCCTACCACCTACGCAAAACCAACGGGCGGAATAAACATCTAGACGGATGGATACCAGTTTTCACCGGGAAGACAGAAATAAGCTCGACGCCTCCGCAGGTTGAAAACTTTCTTACCGGAAGTGGTCGAGGTGTGCGCGATGCCGGTCGAGTTGCCTCTACCCCCGGTGTCGTTTTTCATGCTCGCGTTGCTCCATGGCGTGTAGGTGACGTATATATGCGTACATCTGTAAACGTCGCTTGTACAACCCTCGCGGCAAGAACTCCAAGTACAATTGAACAATCCGGCCAACTCCTCCCGTCTGGAGGTGGTGCAGATGACCGGGTCGGGCGAGAAATCGGCGGCCAGAGTGCTGATCGCCGGGTCGACGTAAAGTGGCACCAAGAATAGCAAGGCTGCGCCACCGGATGTCGCGACGAAGGCCAACGCCGACGTTGCGTAAAAATTGAACCGCTGACGGCAGGTACGCCGTGGCGGTCGGCGCCGCGAAGCGCCGAACCCGAGCTCCAACAGCTTGCGACGACGTAGCTCCTGCTCCTGGAAGTCGTGTTTCTCGTTCACCTGATGTTGCTGGTGATGCCTGGTGCTGGTGTGCTGGTCGGCGTGATGATCGCTCTGACACTGGACGCAGCTCGCCTCCAGCAGGAGCTCAGAGCTGCTCCCGCGCATCACCCGACCGCTCTCAAATAGGTGCCAACCGGAGCTTCTTCAGCCGTTCCAGGGAAACGATCGAGGGTTCTCGAGGATCCTTATCTTCACTAGGACTCATCGAGCGTCGGCCACGGCAGCTTTTGTCTCTTGGCTACAGAGGGGTCAGGGGTAGGCTCGATCGCGAGGCCGCAATTCGAGCCACCTCTCGCATGGAGAGCAAGTAGCAGATCTTTGGACCGTTCGATCGGAGCACAGTTTGCTTCGGTAATCTCATTTAGCGAGCTGCGTCATTCGATGAACACGGAGTTTTGCGGTGTTTTTTCGGTGAGCTGAACGTATTAAAAAGGCTCCTTTTTAATAGGAGGAGGACCTCCACTTTTCGTTGAGCGGATGCGGTTTTAGAATGCACACTGCTTAGGACCATGTGGAAGTGAATGATACGTTTCTACGGTTTTTCGTTGATCGTATCAGTCCGATTGGTTGTTGCTTTAGGCTCTCGAAACGAAATAGACCTCTGGACCTCGGCAAAACGGTCCTCCGTTATCGTTGCTCCGCCAAACACGACGGTGCCTTTGAAGTCTCATGGAAATTCTGTGAAAACTCGAGGGAGATCTCGCTATCAACGCGGCACATTTCGCTAATGCCAATAGGTTCCTGATCATTCGAATATCCTTGACACGACATTGTGCAAATGGTCGGATATTTTGCTATCGCATCATCTGATCTGTTACAGTGCAGTGTCCTGTCTTTAATGAATTCTCTTTCAGAGATCGTGGAATGGATTTGAAAGTTTGTTTGCTGTTCGTTATTTCAAGTGACACGGTCAGTGCCGGTTTTAGCAGTCAAACGAACCGACCAATTTGTCTGTGCCTTATAACGTTCCCGTTTTATCGCTATGCATAATGACCTTGCACGTTTAAAGTTCTTTTAGGCCATCGAAGTAAGTCGATCGATCACGACCTTTTAGCTGTAGTCACGCTGTCGGGCATAGAGCATCTTGCCTAGCTCGCTCGGCTTGGTCTTCCGATCCGCGTGGAAAAGTTTCAAGGCCGTTATCTTTGCGCTAAGGACATCTACGAACCACTTTCTTCTCAACGAATTATCACCGAATCTCTAATCTCGTAATCGACGACACTCGAGAGAATCGTTATCAAACTTAAATGCTTAGTTAGGCCTTAATATTAATTCATCGTTCTCTTCGATTAACAAATATCGATAAGAATATATAGAAACACGATGTAATTCGGTTAACTAATCATTTCTGTAATCCAATTAATTTCAGTTCCCTCTCTGATAATACGTTTCTTTCTTTGTTCCGTTTTCCACCTTCGTTCGTCCCTTTGTCTTATTCAGCAATCGAGAGAAGAGACATAACAATCTCGGCAACATCTATCCAACTAACGAAAGTCGATGATAGATCGATTACTATCCATTAGCGCGTATAATCAACAGGAGACCCGCTCAGAACGTCGAGTCGGTTGTCCAGAATTGATCGAAATTTTCTTGCTCCTGTTCCTTCGCGTCGATAACCGTAACCGTAATCAAAGAAATCCGATGATCTTTCTTTCTAACGAACGACAGATCTTTTTCTAGTTATTTCCTCTCGACTCTTCTCGTATAAATCCTCCAGGATATCCGAGAACTCTTATTAGCTTCTATTAGATTATCGCCAATGATGGACGAACTCCTCTCTTTTCTTTCACGCGACAAAGAGCACAGTCTCCCGCTGGCTTGGGTTACAAGAACGATAACACCCGCAACTGGTTGCCTCTGGCCGCTGCTTGTTGACCTAGAAATCTCCGAGTTGATCGGTGCCACACCGTTGTTTACCTAAGTCAATCCGAACGATCGAAGCCGCGTATCCAAAGCAGCGATATCTCTTCTGATCGAGAAATCCTCGACACCTTCCACCTACCACCGTGGTCAAAATACACCTGTCACCGTGTTACTCCTACGCGAGCTTCGATCCACAAGTGTCCAAAGGGGCCGACTATCTAACCAATCGGATGAATCGCGTATCGAAACGTGGCAAGGCGAATTCCAGGGAAAAGCAAAATGAAACACAAAGACACCTAACGTTCGACGACACCCTGACACCTGCACCTGCCTCCTGGCTCCCTCGTCACCGGTTTCGAAACCACGTCTTCGGCAGGGTCACGCGACGGATATCCGGCACAGGGTGCAGGAGCTAGGATCGGAGTGGATTTTAATGCTCGTGTTACATCGGTCACACCTGCACCTGCGACTCGCGTTCCGGGGTAGCATCCGCCTCGCGGATCGCGAGTTAAAGCGTGACTACTCGTCGAAACTCGAACGAGAGTCCTCGACGGGACAAGCTTTCGTCCGAAGCGACAGGGCGGGGTTCCAGGCGCGCATGAGCGCGTATTCTATCTCACCCCCGCGGCCACCACCCCCACGTTGCATTCCCCTTGTTTACGCTCCTGCCTTGCTCCCTTTTTGTTCGTCTTCGCGCCGTGCTCGCAATTCTCTCCTTCTCCTTCTCCTACTCCGTTATCGTCCTTTAATTGCGACCCATAATTAAACCAATTTTTTCATCCGCTCCTTTCCTCCTAGACTTCTTTTCGCTTTTGATGGAATCGAGAAGGATCGATGAATTGGATGGAAGATTGTTTTGATCGAATTTCTTATGCGCGAGATTTAGTCGGTTGATTGGTTTCGATACGATGGGGATCAGATGGTTTTTAATGTATAGAAGATTATTAATATATTTGGGAGACATCTTCGGATGATTGATTTTAGAGACCTCAAAATGTCGATTGACACTTATTTGTTGTGAATAATATTATGAAGTTTGCGTTGGACGAAAGAAAATGAAGATAGAGTGAGATGGTGAGATATGATGGATATAAAGTCTCACTTTATTTATTGTTGTGCTTGAATAAGTTTTTCGATTATCAATTTTATGTATCAATATATCAATTTGTTTGTAGAATCGATCATCCAAAAATATTTTACGAATACATCAACAATTTATAGAAGTCTTATAGAAGTGTTGTACAAGTTCTTTGATTTTTTACCAATTTCTGTGAATGTAAATTTTTAATCTTCTTAACAAAATACATAGATATTCTTAGAATATATTCCGACATGTTCATAAAAGAATCCTAACTCTTTCTTTTCACATCTTGGTTTTAAAAGTTCTTAGCCTTTCCTCGCATTTTTCACATTTTTGTTTTATACGCAGTAGTTCACAGTCGATTGTAAATTTCCATTATATCTTCGTTATATATACCAGCAATCAATTTTAATTATAAATATTTTTAAATCTTTTGATTTTTATTTACATCTCAATTACAGCTCGATTTGATATTATACTGAAGTTGAATAGACAATATTTATTTCATAGTTTTAATAATTTTCTGATAGAATATGTTTCTGGGATTCTTTAGTTCGGAGATTGATTAAAATTTAAAATAGATTGAAAATGGTGATTGTTTTATCGGAGATAGTTTTTTGATTGTCGTAAATGGAACGAACACAAGGCAGAACTTGTATAAATTGGTTTAGCAAAGAAACGAGAATAAAATTCTAGTCGTTTGTGTTTGAATAGAAAGAACTTGAAAGTCGGATTAAAATATTTAAATTTGGTTTTTGCATTCCTCGATTCAATAATTAATAGTAAAAATTCCAAGAAATGAAATATTATTTTTCTTTTATTCTTTTTTTTTGTTAAAAATTAAAATTTTTTTCATCATATATTTACAAATAACATTTTAAAGAAAATTTATTCAGAAAAAAAATAAGTTTCTTCCAATTCGAAAATTAAACTGACATTTACTTCTTGAAGATCCATTTCTCATTAAAAAATTTTCTTCGTTTAAAGTCAATCTCCTAAATTGAATTACTTTTTCGAAAGCTGTGTACTTTTGCGGCTACCTTTTTCATTTCCTACTACTTCATGATTTTAAAGGTCTAAACTTTGACCTTTTAAAAAATATTTTCTTGTTTGTTCAGTAAAAATTTGATTAATATTGAAAAACATATGTAAAATTTAGAAAAATAGTACACATATGTATATCATTAATTTTCAGAAAAATATATCTATTGAAAATGAACAATAATTATATTCTTTTCACTTAAAGAAATTAATTTATCATACTGAATCGAACTTTTATCTTTTTTGAAAATCCTTCTCTAATTACTTATCAATTAATCCTTCTCTTTACAAATTTATTTAAAAAAAAATATTAATATTGAAAAGAAATCCTTCAAGAAGAACCTCAATCCATCACACTAAATCTTTATCATCCTTTCTTTAAAAAATTCTCTCATTCAATAAAACATCTTCATAGAAAATTTTTTTTCTCGTCGTTCAGACACATCTCACTTTCCAATTCTTTAAAACATCACATTCATCGTAAAAAGAAAAGAACATTTCACTGATATCGTTTATTCGGCGCATAAATCAATCCCGTCGCCAACCTTCCAAACTTGTACTTCATCTTTTTTGCCGCGTATCAAACGATTCGGATCCGTGAACCACGTTTTGGGCGCAAAAACGTAAGCCAGGGCGCAACAAAAGCAACAGTTTGCTCGTAAATCCCGTGGTCGTTAAGTTGGCGCAAAAAGGAGCGTGACGTTGCTCGCTTTACTAAAACATTAATTATGCGCGTCCTGAGCTTTTCACGAACGCATATGAATTGTAAGAAGATTATTCTCGCGATAATGATCGCGATTTCCTTGAAACTATGGTAAATTTCTTAATTGTCGTTTCATTCTTAGAGTAGATATTTCTTTTGAGAGAAGTGTTATCATGAGTAAGATTACAGAAAGGATGAATGATCGTTGAAGAACCAAGCAAAAATTTGAATTGTTTTGGACTTAAATAATTCATTTTTTTTTTTTTTTTGACTAAACAAGTTTTGTTTTATTGAACTTTTCAATTCAGTGAATAAGAAAAAATGGAATGTTTTTTTCATGAAAATCAATAAGATTATATTTTTTATGCATTTTTTTTTTAATAGTAATTATGAGTTTTAAAATGTTTTAAATATTTT